TAGAGAGAGAGAGAGAGAGAGAGAACACGCGTGCATGTCACACTTGCTAACACGTGTACCGCTTTTTCTCGAATGCCAAATACAAATTGCCAAGTAAATCTTATTCACCTTTTCGTTTTTTTTGTTCGTCAAATGAAGCAGTATTTGGATAGCGATAATCTCCCTCTTCCCCACCACCTCCTCCTTGTTCATATTCTTTTTGTTTTTTCTTGTTCTTGTTGTTGTTCTTCTTTTTCTGTTCCCAGTGGTCTGGATTGGTTTGTTCTTTCTTTTCTTTCAAACACCAATTGTTCCTTTCCCTTCTTATATTTTTCTTTGTATGTTAGATTTCTACTCTCCAGCAGTATCACCTCTTATCTTCGCCACTTGTATGGCCTATTTGTGTGGCAAGTGCTTACTCGCCTATAACATTAAAAAAAACAACCTAAAAATTCAACTCGTCTTTTTTTCTTCATGTTCTTCTTGTTGCTCTTGTTGTTTTTTGTTCGTTCTTGTACCTGCTCTTGTTCTTCCCCAATGACTTTCATAGTTGAAAAACCCATGCGGACTTTTTACCTACCCTAGAACCTGTCTTTAAAAAATATATAATATAATAAATAAATACACCTGTAATACGTCTCTCTCTCTCTCTCTCTCTCTCTCTCTCTCTCTCTCTCTCTCTCTCTCCCCCCCCTCTCTCTCTCTCCGCACTCCTTCCCTCCGGTGGCTGCTCTGTCCTCACGCTTTGCACGTGCTCTCTGAATGTTTCAACTCTCTCTCTACCCGGCGGTACACCTGCACGCCTAGTCTAGCCAGTGAGAGGCCGCTATTGGAGCTGGCCTCTCATCATTGATTGGCCAGACTGCAAAATCCTGGTTTCCCCTGACCTCATAACTCGGGTGCACACACACATGGTATGCAAAATGAGGTCAACATCATGGGCTGCTCTCGAGACCCGAGACAAAGGCGTGAGCGTGAGTGCTTCACGAGAGAGAGAGAGAGAGAGAGAGAGAGAGAGAGAGAGAGAGATATTTCTTCGTTTAGAGGACACAAGTATTTATTGAATAATAACAGAAACAATCAAGGGTACCCTGCTTTTAAAGAATTCGTGGTGCGTTTCCCATAATGAATGACAAGTACAAATTGAATCGAAAGGTTTACTTTGAATCAAAAGGTGATGGATCCAAGATTAAAAAGGACCAGGAAAAAAAATAAAGAGGTTGAAGTTGAATTGAAAGTTGGAGATTTTACCAGTCTTTTCCCAGGATGTACTATTCATCATATCAACCTGGAGATTGGATTTTCAGAAGCACATGGACTCAATAAAGGCCATTCAGTGCTCGCAAAAAGCAAGTCGGACAATGATATAGGACACTCTTTGAGTTGTTAATCAGACTTGAAAACGACGTAAATCTAGTCGGCCTACTATCTGGGCGGATTTTGTGATGTGTAGTTCTCAAGATCTTTCAAGGGGTCTGGTAGATTGAAATTGGAAATAAAACTAGATCTAGATCTGGACTTGGTTTGATTTTTTTTGGTTGCTTCAAAAACTTGATTATTGTACAAAACAAGTCTTCTGTTCTTTTCTTCTTTCTAATTTCTCATCTTTTCTTTTTCCTCATATGATATTCAGTCGAGATGAAAGGGAACCGTTCTCCCAAAAATATACTTC